TATATATATATATATATATATATATATACACACACATAATTTTGTGTAATTTGAATTATTTGGGAATTTTTGAGTGTTTATACCAATTGATGTCACTTGGCAAACAATCTCCTCCTCAAGAATTGCTCCCACTAAGAATCAAACACATGACCATGACTCTAATATCAATTATTGGATCAAGAGCTTACCACTAAGCTAAAAGTTATAGCTGTTAGTTAGGGTGCAATTTTTTCTACTTAATCGTAGTAGCTCAAACATCCTGTGTCGCTTGTGACTTGAACTACCTAAGCCTCCGCCACGAGACAATTGATGTCACCTAAAAAATATTGATGTTAATTGCATGAATATATGAAATTGAGGTTGAATTTGAATAATTGATGGTATAATAGAGTAGCATTAGGCTTTAATCTATGTTTTTTTCCAACTAGATTGGGAGAAGAGAGTTTAAATCTAAGTTGTGCCTTGTTCTGAAATTTTTGTTATGGATATAACTTGGTAATTATGTGATTTCTCTATGTGATTAAAAAAATGAATTTCAATTACTGGGTTAGCAAGTAGACATTTTGACTATAGTTTAGACTTAAAAATCGCACAAAAATGCAAAGGAATAACCGAGTTATGTGAGTTAAAAGATGAATTTCATGTTCTGTGTGCGAAATATAAGTTACATATATTGTAAGCTTTTAGAGTATACTTTAATAGCATAATTATGTTTTAAAATATTCATAAAAGTTGTAGCTCTAGATGTTAGCTTTCAAATTTTGTTGGAATCATTTAAAAAGGAGGTAACTCTCAAAATCTATTAAAGAAGGAAAAGTCAAATTATCTACTAAAATCAAAAGGCAAAAATCCTGGATATCATGAAAAAAGCAGAAAAAGGTTCTACAAGAACTACTTTATGCTGACATTACTTTTGCTTTATCCATTTTAGAAATAAATGATGATAAGTAGTTTCCTAGATCAGATAAGAAATACACATTTTATTGAAAAACATTTATTAATGTTCGCATTAAATAAAGCAACGATAATCTCTTTCCTCTAAGATCAATAGTGAAGATAGACGAAACAACTTATGAGTTCAACTCAAAATTGCTGCAACGATTTTCTTCTCTAAAGTCATTATATAAGGATCAAGCATTCAAACAAATACAGATATATACACATGCATATAAAGAAACACTTCCTGTGAATTCTATCTAGATTATTTTAAACTTTCATTATAGGTTGCAACACGTCTAGAAGAGACGAAACAACCTGATAATCTCTTGTAACCTTTGTTGTAAGAGGTTGAGCTTGAAGAAGCTTGTTTGAGTTTTTTAAGTAAGTTCTTCAACTACATTGGAAAATTCATTGAAACTTTAAAAGTGTCAAGAAATCAAAAATATAGAAAGAAGCTTGAAGGAGAAACTATATCAATCAAGTCTTTCCTTGAGATTTCCATCATTACATATTCTCTTTTTTAATCAAATCATATTTTATTAGTTTCTTTTGAATTTTCTTTAAATGTTCGAAACTCATGTCTTGCATCTTTCATTCAAATGTTAAGGTGAAGTGTTCTTTTTGTTGCTTTTAGGATTAATACTTTTATTAAATAATAATATTATTATTTTCCATTGATTTAAGTAAATACTATAAAATGTGAGGTGTTATAATTAAGTGGAAAACATCTTAATTTCAATTTTCAAGAGACCCAAAACATTACACGTTTGAATTCAAATTTTTTTCTTCTTTAAAAGAGTGATTACCACATATTTAAATTGCATATGATGGGAAAGGCTTTCCTTCTCCATTTTCATTTTAAAGTTATACATCCCATTATTTAAAGTAATAAAGTCCACATATTTTTATTTCTTTATCAATTAAAAAATATAATGCATATGTTAACAAAATGTTACTATTTTAAATTTAAATTCTTTAAATAAAAAAATTGGAATATGCTTTCTTTAGAAAATAAATAGTCACGTTACTTCATACATAACTAAAATTTTAATGTGATTTCAAAAAAATCAATATACACTAATTAAGATACATACAAAATAAATGTAAAAAAATAAATTGAACATAGGAAACCAAAACTCACAATCCGACTAAAGAATTGGTAATTTGTAACGTTATTTTTGTTATATTTAAATCCATCTTACCCTAATCATAAGTGATTATCCAATTATCATTTATGCATAAAAGATAATTTTTAATATATATATAGAGAACAATAATCCATTTACTTTAAGAATAAGTGTATCTAGATTAACTATATTCAATAAGTTATATTTTACATCAAATTTTAACGATTCAATCATTAAATTAAAAATTCTTAATGTATAGATCAAGTTTATAAATTTTTTTAAAAAAAATGAAAACCATTTGATACTTCATTTATTTAATTCAAATTAACATATAAAATATTTTTATTATTCGTCAATCTGAATTAATGAAACGAAATATCAAATGGTTTTCAAACTTTTAAAAATTTTACAGATTTAATCTATACATTAATTATTTTAAATCTAATGGTTAAATTGTTAAAATATATATATATATATAT